ATGGGAATTCTTGATTAAAGTATATTCTTGGTCGGATAGCTGCAAATTGATTATACAACTTATTGGAAGAGGTTTGATTTAGCTTTCGTGACCTAGTTCTATTTTTTGTTTGTAAGTAGGCTTTTGAAACTAACAATAGATTATTTAAATGAGATGTACACGGCTATGTATATGGGTTGTATTCCTTGCGAGGTGAAGGAGGACTGGTACTTCAATTTTTCCAAAGTCCAATGAGTACGTCCTACGTCTCCATTAAATTTAGCATAGCCTTACTTTCCATAAGGTATTCTCATCGAGGCTGGCCTCGTTTGGTCTCATCAACACCTTCAGCAGGACTTGAACCTTGGTTTTGACTTGTTGCAAAACGTGTCGTCTATATCGGCTTAAACGAAAAAGGGTGAATAATTTATATATATATGATCTTCTAGTAGTTTCAAAACCCACTTACAAACAAATAGAAAATATAACCTTGCTTCATCAACAATCCAACCACAGAATGCGGTATAGGAAGATGCCTGGCATTCCTTTAAATTCGCATTTGCCTTTGCTCAAAGGGCACTCTGGCGTAGTGGTTGACATGTCGAGATTATACGCTGTACTCGCATGGTTCGAGCTCCGCTGGGGGTGTTGGTAAGTTCTAGTCTCGATTGAAATAGCAGCCCACTTCAGCCTGGATGAGAATACCTTTTGGGAGGCAAGACTATGTGAAATTCAGTAGAAGCGTGTTGTTACTTACTCATTCAATTGTGCGAAAATGAAAAGGAATTGAGCGAATACATCTCATATACTTGGTCGTATTGCCAACCAGGCCTAATTTAATGCGCGATGCCGGCGAAACTTCTAGGAATGTACCTCTAGATCATTTTGCCAATATGACCGAGCTACGAATACAAGGTTAAAGAAGTTGTATACATCGTCATTGATAATTAGAGTTAATCCCTTGATCAACTATTTGCTGATCGGTTGTGGTATCGCTACCTCTATTCTTCTTTATATTGACCTATTCCATATCCTCGTATATTCCCCTTCGCTATCACAAATTCTAACTTGCTTGTTTTAAACTTCTTCAGAGATGTGCTCTTTCAAGTCGATTTTAGGAGTCTTATTCCTTCATTCCTTCATTTTTTTCCATCATGCTATAAATGCTGATCTAACTCGCTCCTTTCAGTTTGTAATTACTTTATTTAAGTCCTATTTAGGTCATCCTCTTGCCTTGGATTATCCGTCTCTTATCTCTCCGATTAAGTGATTTCACACTGTCATTTCCACCATATATATGCTACCAAAGGTGTTATTTTTCACACCTCATTTTAGGTCTCAGCCATTTGGTAGCACAATACTCTAGCCATAAAGCCCGGATTATGAAGCTGAATGAAAGGCTGAACTAATTGTGGATATGTATAAAAACCAAATTTCGAAGACTCCTTAATTGTGGCTTCCCATATATCATTTCGGCTGGTATAAATTTCGTGGTCAGGCATTTTTTCCACGGACCACCCCATGATCAAACCGTTTTATTGTGGGCCAACTGTTTCTGATCTCCACCCCATCTCTCGAATTTATCTCGAGCTTCTGTCTATAGTACCCTATCCTAGAATTTTTCATGTACCAACCCCCAAATGTTGA